CTGTCAATAAAACAGACTTGAGGATCTGTGGAACAGATTAGAAGATGCAGACACATCTGAAAAAGATACTCAGCCACCTTACCTTTGACAAAGGAACCAAACTAGTTCACTTGAAGAACATAGCCTCTTTAATAAGTGATGCAAGAAAATCTGATTATCCACATGCTGGAGACTAAAACTATATCCACAGTTATCACCATGTGCTAAACTAAAGTTAAAATCGATCAAAGATCTAAATACTAACATGGAAACACTAAGTCTACTACAAAAGAAAGTAGGTAGAAATTCCTGGAAGAAAGTATTACTCTAGTACCAAAACCAAAGAAAGACCCCCCCCCAAAAAAAAAAAAAAACACAAAAAAAAAAAACAAAAAAAAAAAAACAAAAAAAAACAGAACTATAGGCCAACCTCTCTTATTAATGAACATAGGTACAAAAATTCTGAATAAAAAATGGCAAACAGAATGCAGCAAATCATCAGGAAGTTTATACATTACAACCAAGGGGGATTCGTCCCAGGAATGCAGGGATGCTTCAACATGTGCAAATCAAGAAATGTAATCCACCATATCAATAGAGCCAAAAATAAGAATAACATGATCATTTCTATGAATGCAGAAAAAGCTTTTAATATGTCCAACACTCATTCATAATAAGAACCCTACATACAATCGGAATAGATGGTCTTTACCTCAATATGATAAAAACCATCTATGAAAAACCAACAGCCAGCATCATATTAAATGGTAAAAACAGAGCTTTTACTCCAAAATCAGGAACAAGACAAGAATATCCATTATCACTATTCCTATTCAATATAGTGCTGGAAATACAAGTCAGAGCAATTAGACAAGAGAAAGAAATAAAACGAGAAAGGATAGGAAAATGAGAAGTTAAATTATCATTATTTGCAGATAGCATGATACTCTATGTAGAATATGCCCAAAATTTCATTGAAAGACTCCTAAGTATAGTAACTATATTCAGGAATGTAGCTGGATACAAAATCAACACTAAAAAATCAACAGTATTCCTATACACAAACAGCAAACTCACTGAGAGAGGAATAAGAGAATACAGATTCTTCACAATAGCATCCAAAAAAAAAAAAATGAAACACTTAGGAATCAATCTAGCAAAATGAGTCAAGATCTATGCAGTGGAAATTATAATATCCTGAAAAAGAAATTGAAGAGGGTTTTTAAAAATGGAAAGACAGTCCCTATTTATGGATAGGACGAAAAATATTGTGAAAATGGCAATTCTCCCAAAATTGTGATACAGATTTAATGCAATTGCAATAAAAATATCATTAGCATACCTCACAGATCTAGAGAAATCATTCCTAAAATTATTCTGGAATCAGAAAGACCTACAAGAGCAAAAGCTATTCTGAACAACTAAAGCAAGGCAGGTGGCATCACAATCCCTGACTTGAAGCTATACTACAAAGCTACTAATAATGAAATCAGCATGGTACTGGAATAAAAACAGATTTTAAGATCAATGTAATAGATCAGAAGATACAACTAAATCCACAAACACAGCCAGCCACCTTATCTTTGAAAACGAGGCCAAACATATTCACTGCAAGAAAGATAGACTTTTTAATAAAGGGGGCTGGAAAAACTGGCCTTCCATATGCTAAAAACTAAAAATAGACCCATTGCGTATCACCATGTACTAAACTAAAGTCTACATGTATCAAAATTCTAAGTATTAAAACAGAAACGCTAAATCTGTTGGAAGACAAAGTAGGTAGAAATCTGGAAGACAAGGTGGTAGGTAGAGAACTCACGAACAAGAATCAAACCACATGGGAAATACTTCACAGGTTCAGTAACTGGGATCACATTTTATTAAAGAGTTTCTGCATGTTGAAAGAAATTTCCAGTATAGTGGAAAGAAAACCAAAAAAATGGGAAAAAATCTTAGTGAACAGTCATTGAGACAAAGGACTTCTGTGTAGAACATATAAAGAATTTTTAAAAAATGAAGACCCCAGAAATTCAAAGACCCAATCCAAAAATGAACATCTGAGATCAGTACACAATTCTAAGATAAAGAAATACAAATGGCAAATAAATTCATGAAAAAATGTTCAGTATCATTGGTCATTAAAGAAATGCAAATTAAAACCACACTGAGATTCCATCTCATACCAGAAAGAATGGCCAGGATCAAGAAAACTACCAACAGCAAATACTAGAGAGGCTGCGGGGGGAGGGGGAGGAAATGAACTCTTTTTTACTTTTGGTGGGAGTGTAGGCTGGTGCATCCACTGTGAAAATCAGTCTGTAGGTTCCTCAAAAAGCTGGGATTGGAAGTCCTATTTGACCCAGGTCTTCCTGAAAAATATGTCTTCTGGACGTATTCCCAGAAGTACTGAAAATATCATAACGAGCTCTTCCAGAAGATATGGTTATAGTATATAAGATACAAAAGCCTCAGTAAATATGGTAAACAAATAAGAATCATTCAGTGAAAAAATAATATCTCAGGGAAAAAGGAAAAGAAAAGAAACAGTATATAGTATAAACACAATTAGGAAAGCTAATACAACTGTGATACAAATTCTATTGGTTTTTGGAACAAAAGAGTTAACATTCTTGGGACTGGCAAATTTTGCACGCTTGAGTCTGGTGATATGAGGAATACTTTTGAAGATCACTATAGAAAATATCAACCGTAGTTATGTTTCTGCCACCTTGTTTTGAAGTCCTATATCGTTATTGTTTTGGGCTCTTTGCTATTGTTATTTGTCTTTTTTGTTTCTTGTTTTTCCAGTGTTTTGCTTTTCCTTCTAATATAGAAAGGATAGGTGTACATGTACAGACTTATGCATGCCTAGAACTTCTCCCAAACAGATTACAAGAATCAAGTATATTGTGCATGATGAAATGAACAGCTACTTTGAGATATTAAAAGAGATATTATGGTAGTCATTGATAACTTCCTATTGTTATGCTGTGAAATCCAGTGATGCTTTAATCTTTGTTAAAAGTGGTTTTAGTCTGTTTTGTATTATTTAATTTCAACATACATGAAGGTATGGACAGCTGTTTTGAAAAAGACATGAAACATTTTGGCAGTCATTGTTAATTTTCCTATTGTCTGTTTTTGAAGGCCTGTGATGTCTTCATTACTTTGATTTTGGTTAGTTTTATATTATTCTGTTTTATATGAATTCATTGTGTGTGAAGATGCGGACAACTATTTAGAAGAAAACAAGATACATTACAGTACTCACTGTTGATCTCCTGTTGTCTTGTTTTTAAATATGTGTCCCTTAAATTGTTTTCATCTGATCTGCTTTCCTCTTTTTTTTTTTTTTTTTTTTTTTTTTGTGATACCAGGGATTGAACGCATGACCTTGCACGTCCAAGTGTTTTTGCTGCAGAGCTAAATCCCCAGCCCCCATTTTTGTTCTGTTTTGTTTTACCCTCTTTAAAATTTTTAAAAAGTAAATATTGTAACATTTAAATTAGCAATTTAAACTTAAGTTGAAAAAATATTTAATTATATAGATATGAGACAATGCTTAATAAACTATTAGTTCTTTCTGATACTCATTCTCTCTTCCTTAATTAAAACAAAACCCTTCCCATCTCATTTTGACGTAGTGCCATCTGACTCATCCCAGCACTTTGCAGTCCCTCATGCCTCTGTGTTTCCCTGTGTGACTAGGTACGCACAAAGGGACAGAGGTGGAAGTGAAGGGTTTTGCCATTAATTCACTTAAGATTCGGGGGCATTCCTTTCTCCTTCCATATGTTTGAGGCTAATGGTGAAATGGAGGAAATCTGGGGTTACCCTTTGAGGGAAAACGTGAAACTCTATAGAAAGGGCCACAGAAAGAATACAGCCACAACCTGCTGTCTCAAAGTGGCCCTGACACTAAGTGGATGTATCTGGTGGCCAACAGGCTATTACTTGGGAGACATAAGAAAAGTCACTGTAAAACTAATGTGTGAGAACTGCTGAGATTTGCTCTTGAGGACAGCTGTCTTCCAAGAGCAATGCCCGAGCTTTCTAGTTAGAATCTCCAAGAGAACAAACAGGATCTCAAATGGAAAAAAAAAAAAAAAATGAAATTTACTTGTCAAAAGTCTGCACCTTAGCCCATAGCGGGGGAAAAATTGTTCTTCAAGTCGAAATTGAGTTTCATGTAATAGAAGAATTTGTCAGTAGGAAAAATTTGTCAACTGTAAGTTTTACACATAAATGAGGAACCCGCATGAACTGAATAGTAAATTAACAGCATATCAAAATAAAAGACACTCTCTATGGGTGCAAATTTTTTTAAAGATCCAAACCTCCTTGGAACATGTTAAAAGGAGTATAGAATTGTTAGGAAACAGGAGTGGTAGCATTATCTCCAGACTGTTACCCAGATACAGGTAAAAGAAAGTTCCTAACATTCATGTGTCTGTTTATTACTGTCACTGTTTTGAAGTATGCTGCTTTCTCCATGAGGGTAGGAAATGTTTTATTTCCCATCTTATGCCATGGTATTGCACTAACATAGTTATACACAATTTGTAATTGTTGGAGATTATATTTTTTTATAATTCAAGTGTTAAATTTATTTATTTTAGAGGTTAGATTTCAAAAACGCTTCCTAATAAACTTTATTTAGAAGACTAGGTACATCAAATATTGAAACAAGACATTGTGAAGCAAATATATTTATTTTCTGAATTCATACAAGTATTATAAAGAGAAGAGACGTATTCCATACATAAAATGCACAATGAATCATATGAGGGGTTTGTAATTTATAAAATTGAGATACAGCTTACTCTGAGTAGGTGGACTCTGGGTCACTAGAATACCACCATTCTATGAGACTTTGATCCCATCAACCTAGCCTTACCTGTGGTATTTTGGTCCAAATAATTAAGCATTAGTAGAAATCACAAGACCTGAGGTTATGTATTACAGTCTCTGGATTATGTACTCATAAAAACAGAAATACTTTATTATAAAAGTAAAATATGCTATTTCAAGGAAGATTGATATTTTTGAAAGATCTTACATAGTGCAACTTTCACATCCTTATTCCTCAGGCTGTAGATCAGGGGATTCAGCATGGGGACAACAATGGTGTAAAACACAGAGGACACTTTCCCTTGGTCCATAGAGTTGCTTGATGAGGGCTGCAGGTACATGAAGGCGCCAGAACCAAAGAACGCAGCAACAGCTGAGAGATGGGAGCTGCAGGTGCTGACGGCTTTGGACCTGCCTGAGGTGGAGCGAATGCGGAGGATGCTAGCTAAGATGAAGATGTAGGAGGGAACGATAGTTAGAGTTGGAAGAAGAACATTAAATGCACTGAAGCACAGAAGCAATACCTCATTAATAAAAGTGCTGGAGCAGGAGAGCTCCAGTAGTGGAGAAAGCTCACAGAAGAAATCATTTATGATATTTTCCTTGCAGAAAAGCACCTTCAACATGCAGACTATGTGAGTTGTGGCACCAACCAAACCCATGCTGTACACCCCAGCTACCATCAGGCAGCAGACTTGAGGAGACATGGTGACACTGTAAAGCAGGGGGTTACAGATGGCAACGTAGCGGTCGTATGCCATTGCAGCCAACATGTAACACTCTGAGATACCAAAAACCAAGAAGTAGAGTTGAGTAATGCATTCGGTGTAGGAGATGACATTCTTCTCTGTCACAAAGTTTATCAACATTTTGGGGGTGATAACAGTGGAATAGGACAGGTCGATGAAGGACAGACTGCTGAGGAGGTAGTACATGGGGGTGTGCAGGGGAGAACTGAGCCCAATCAGGATGATCATGCTCAGGTTCCCCATCACTGTGAACACATAGATTCCCAGGAACAAGAGGAAGAGGGGCAGCTGGAGCTCTGGTTTTTCTGTTAATCCAGAAAGAATAAACTCAGTCACCAAAGAATGATTTCCTTTTGTCATTTCTTTATGCAAATCTATGTAAGAATGGAAGAAAAGTTTTCAGATATGTTTTTATTGTCTGCACAATAATATGTGAAGTAGAACTTTATTCTACTCATCCAGATATGTCCAGTTCTCTGCAAACTTTTCACATAAATGTATCAACAATCTTGAGATCTCTGACTGACATGTAAATATGTAGCACACAAAGCTCTGGGTTTCTTGTTTCATTCTGTAAGAGTCTTATTAATATCAAGTTCATGAACACTCAACAAAACAATTTCTACTAATTTCTGAGTGCATCTGATTAATTATAGTTTTTTTCTGAATTATTCTGATGAAAAAAATCATTTTTATTAGAGTAGCATCATCCATAATGCATGCACAGACACATGCACACAGAGATAGGGAAAGATACACATTGATTGCTAACCAGAATGGTAAAGGCAAAAGACTTTCCCGTGAAATACTGAATAATGCAAGTGGTCCACTACCTGTTTTCATTTCAGAGTGCACAAAAAGATCTAACTAGAAAAGTCAGACTAAAAACATAACGAAAGGCATTCATATTGGAAAGCCAGGATTCCTTATCATTTCACTCTAGTTAAATGACAATCTTATGCAGAACAAGACCAAGAGGATCTTTGCCAACATTGCAGAATTAAAATTAAGCACCATGAGAAAATGTAGGTGGGAAATACAATTAATTGTATTTTACATATTTGCAATATATAATAAAATAAATAACGTGAAAGTATGAAATAATTAGGAATAAACTTGAAAAGGAAACAAAAGCTGTCACATAAAATTACAAAAAGTTTTTGAATAGTACTAAAGTCTTTCATACATGGAAAGACGGATCTTCACGAATCAAAAAATCAGCATTGTCAAAATGGAAGTATTTTCCAAACTGATCTAAAAATTCAGTCTAAAGTCTATCAAAATTCCAGTATTTGCATAAATTAACAGGATGATCATAAAATCTGTTAAAAGACAAGGATTCTAGAATAATCAAAGCAAACTGTAAGATAATTAACTTTTGATGAACCACATTTTCTTATTTATAAATTTACTATTTTCCAGTGAAAAGGCTGCATAAGACTGTTACAAGTATAAACATACAGACCAATGGAATAGAAGTGTTAGTCCAGAAATTAACTCATAGCCATGAAGAACTCAACTGTTATAAGCATTTTATGATAATTCAATGGAAAAATGATAATTTTCTCAGCAAAGTGTGCTGAAGTGGAAAGTATATTTATGAGAATTAACCTAGAAATATTTTTCACACTGCCCCAGTAATTTATTAAGTGTGCGTTACACAAATAGATAAAAAAAATCTAACACTCTAAAAGCATCAGGAAAAAAACCATAAAACTATGTGTAGCCTTGCATTTGACGGTTCTTTCATAGGTGAGCCCCCCAAAGCTAAAAGTTAAAAGTAGAAGAAACAGTAAAGTGTGCATTGTCAAAAAAAATTAAAATTGTGCTTTACAAATTCTCTACCCAGGAAGGTGAAAGCAACACCTAAAGAAAGAAAAAATCCAATAATTTGACTGAATTCAGAATGTATTTTAAAGATTCTTTTACCTTAACACTTTAAAGCGGACTCAGGATTTTAATAAACATTGTTACATTTCAGATATGTGTTATCAATAATAAATGAAAATATTTTCACCAAGGATAAACGTTTTGGCTGTGTCAGGACACTAAACACATAACATTGAACTGTATATGAACACACAGTTACAAGAAATTTTACTGTGACAACATAGGCAAACTGTTTAATGAAGGGGTTCAAAATAAAGAAATTGCTAACGTTGAACCCCCAGTTCTTATAATTTTACAATCTAGAAGGGCACAGGGAGACAGAGTAGATAAAGAGACTGGTAGGTCCTACAGGAGCAACGCCATTGTGGTGCTGCTGTGGAGTGGGAGGCCAATGCAGCCTGCTGAAGAGAAACAAAATGAAGTTTCCTTCATTATGTAGCAACAAGTATCATGTGACACAACTGGTCGCCAAAAACACACTTGATAGACACTGAATTTTAGCTCATAATACTCCTGCAGTTCCTTCCTTCTCCTAGTGGCCTGTCCAATAAAATCCTATGTGCTAAGGTTCTTTTCACTGAAATCTGTGATACTGAAATTCCAGTTAACAGGACAATTTTCTCTCTGCACACAGACATATTCCTTATGATAACATGTGGCACACAGCTAGATTGGTGTGCTGTGCATCACTTACTAGTTTTTCTTCCACTGTGATTTGCAAACTCAATGCAATGCTGGCACAGTGTTTTGCACAATGCAAGTCTCAACAATGCATTTGATAAAATTGTTGAAAGAAGCATAGAGATAAATTAATACAGACTGAGTGAAGCTCTTACCTCCTTGAGTAATGTTAACTAAAAGAAGTGTTTACTATAATTCCGTGCTGTAAAAGACAGAGAATGATAATGGAATTTGTCCTCATCAGAAAGTGTGACTCTCAGAATGAGGCCAGGAGGGACAGATCAGTCACCATCTGTAACTTTGCTAACACTGTGAAAGAAATATGGGAAAAGAATCTGGAATTTTAAAAATCAAGGACAGAGATCCAGACATACTCCTTCTGCTTCCCAGAGCTCAGCATTTTAGATTTTTCTTCATTGCTCTGAAAAGAAAAATAATTTTGATAATGTGAGCCAGTGATAGCCCAAAATTGTCTTTGAGTCGCTAATCCTGACACCTTCCAAAAGTGCTGTCCAAGGCCATTTGATCTGCAGAGGTGTCTTGGTGTGACAGTTTCATCTCCTGGGTACAAGAGTCAATTTAGGAGTAAATGATGATAATGAGCTCTCACCAGAAGGTTCTCCCATGAGTATCAACTCTGGGGAAAGAAACAATTAAGACTTTCTCTTTATCCCCATTTGGTTCTCAAGTGTTTAACATTGTCACATATGTGTAATTCAGTACTTGTTAAAATACAGTTAAGAAATGGATGTAAGCAAAATCAGTACACCAGTGAATTTCTTACCCAGACTATAAAAATTCAAAATTTCATAAAAATTTTAAGAATTTAAAGGAATTTTCTATGATGGTATCTGTCATGGTTTATATCTGTGGCCCCCAGGCCTCAGGAGTTTGAATTGTGCATTTGTTACTCATTCATTGTCTAGTGTATGGATTGATGATGTCAGTGCTCCACCCACATAGGCGTGGAGCCAGGATGTGATGTAATGGCAGGAAGAAGGTGTGTCAACTAAGTGCGGACTGAAACCTCCAAAAACTGTAAGAAATAAACCTTTCCTTTCCCAACTTTGGGCTTCACGTATTTTGTCTCAGCGACAAGTAAGACAGTGTCTAAAAGGGAAAAATACTGAGGAAAATCAACCAGGGTCATTGAAGTTTATATTTGCATTCTTTCTACTGATTGTTCTTACATTAATATACTCTCTTAAAGTGGTCCTTCTCTGAACATTTTAATTTGCATGCTGTAGAGAAGCCGCTTTCTTTGTGTTCACAAATGAAACCCTTGGATATTACTAGAGACTCATGGGGTCTGCCAAAAATACAGAAAGAGAAGGAGTGTCTCCCTTCTAAAAATGAAGAGAAAATTTGAATAACAGTGAAAGCATATAATGGAAATTATTTCATACCAAAATGTTTGCAATTTTAAAAATTTTTATTTTCAGTGTAATTGTTACATAATCTTGAGATATTGCAATGCATTTTCTTAGCTAATTTTCCTCTGGAATAGTTTAAATTTTTGTTGAATGTGAACATTTAATCTGATATATAAATTTACTTTCTTTTTTCTTTTCTGTTCTTTTTTTGTTTTGTTTTGTTTTTTGGTACTGGGGATCGAATTCACGACCTCACACTTGTCATGCAGGCACTTACCCTGCTGAGATAAACCCCCAGCTTATAAATTCACTTTAGCAATTAGCTAAAGACATCCTTTAAGTTTTGCTTAGATCTTAAAGACCAACATGTTAACTGTACTGCTTAATGAGTTTCACTGTGGCATTTTATACTAGCAATTGGGTAGCTTTGGTTACTTGTCTCAAACATTTTTGTATATTTTTCAGGTTCCACTTCTCAACAAATCACCTCCCTCTGCCTTACTAGCTTTTAGTCAATAGTAGTCCCTCTACTATTCAGGTAGTGTTTTTTTTCCATATATGACAGAAATTATGTAATATTTGTCTTCCTTACATCAGGTAAGAACCTTGACCAAGTTTGTATCTTCTTCATGTGAATATCTAGTTTTCCCAACGCTATTTCATCAACAGCACAATCTTCCACCAACTGAAAATGTATGAATTCATTTCTAGGTCTTGTATTCAGTTCCAGTGATCCATAGGACAAATTTTATGCTAACACCTGAGATTTTTGTTACATGGCTTTGCAGTATGAATGGATATCAGCTCTTGTGATGTTTCTAGTATTGTTCTTTTGGAACACTAAGAAGAAAGCTGCAGATAAAAGAAAGTTTCATAAGTGCTTTATAACTCTATCAAACATATCTGTATGTCTTTATCATACTTAGTATCCGCCAATGCACTACTATTGCCTTGTGGGTAAGCACTGCTTTATCACATATCACAGAATAATATATTACCTAACACAGCTTTATGCATTTAGTAATGTTAGCATTATATTTTATATATTCAAAAGGCAAAAGTTATTTGTTTTACGAACCACAATTTCAGAAATGCTTGGAAGTATACTTAGTATAAGACCTAGGTATATAAAAATTGAGAAAATAGGATGCGGAACAAGTATATTTATTAATGAATAAAGATAGAAAAGGTTTCCATTAAAACAAGAATGTTCAATAAGAAAAAAGCATAATCAGTCATATGGAGACATTTAAAGGGCTTATGATTCGGTAGATATGTATTAATAATTAAAAAAACTAAAACAGAAGCGATACACACAATTAAAGAATGGGTTATAACATGATTTTAAATATATGTTGAAAACTTGGGATGATTAAAAGACAATAATACACTATGATTATTTTTAAAACATGATGG